TTTGAGACTTTGGTTTTGAAGCACAGCTCGAGCATTATAATAGCTAGATACCCCAAAATTGGTATGTGGATTCTTAAACATGGAAAAAACCTCATATATGAAGGGTACAGACTTGTACTTTCGCATATGTGCAGATTTTAGTGACATATTTTTGCCCTGAATATTTTATAATGATGGGACTTTAAGCACCGAGCTACTCAAGAGCGATCAGTAAAGCGGGCAGCTTTTATATGTATACATTTCTCCTTTTCTTTCCTATTTATGTCTAGAAGGAAACTAGAATTTTGATAACGGCAGCTCGTCACTGTGCTAAGGGTATCTGCTAGTCGAGCACTCCCGACTGGAGCTCTCTAACTTGTTTTTAATTGCTTAGCAAATACCAGCACAATTTGACAAGCAGTCAACGTGTTTCACTTCCCCATTTGCGAGCTACGTATCTATTTGCTGAAGCGCATCTGTTTTGATACGCTTGTCGCGTTCAGACGAGCTGCATCTTGTTTCCATGGCACATTGATAACCAATTTAGCTCATTATATTTGCCACGGGCTGCCATTGACTACTTAATATGCTGATAAGCTCTATTGATCATCATTGACGACAGCGTCCTTCCCTGTCGAGCGATTCGTGCGTACGTATACTTTCAGTACACACTATACACATACGTATAAATCCACATAGCTGCTGCGACTTCTGGCTGTTGCTGTAAGCCGCTTATCAATGGCATTATTATCAGTGACAACAGTTGACGTTTTATTGCGCAACACGTTAAAAGCCAACAAAAGCGTCAGCACATGCTACTTCAGAGTGTGCCCATAGATTCTATTTATGGGCCCCGTGCCTATAGCCCCTCCGATAATGCCTCCAAAATTGAGACGTTTACGCACCGAATAGAACAAAAAAAATGAATAAAACAAAATGTGGCCCAGTCAAAATTGTGATAGGCCCCACTAGAGCTAGCGCGACGAGTGTTCGTATTATCGCCTAGACGAGTATAAGTCATGTGTCTGTTGGCCAAGACAGCTGACAAACGCCAAAAGTTAGTGAACCTTGCGCCTTATCAGACATACTGCCTAAAGCCTAAGGTCTGTCAACCCCTACAAAAAGAACGCGCAAAAAACACACGTTTTATTTGTATTTGAACTAAGACTTAACATTATGCAAATACGCGAATGCTTAACTATTTTTGGTAAATTATTTATAATTATATGCACTGTAATTACGACTTCATCAGGTTGTTTGCTTTGGCTTTGACTGCGACTCGTGCTTTAATTAACACATTATCTACACTATGCTGCTAACTGAGTACTCAATACAACAACAACAACAAAAAAGAAATCGGCAGTGATTTTCTGTGTCGGAACCAATATTGCCCTAGGCTCTAAATGCCGTTGCCGGCTAACACAGAAATGTCAATAAAATTCGATTTGTGTTCTAATCAAAGCCCATGCAATAAACCATAAAGTATTATTATTAAGCGGCGAATATCTGTAAGTGGTTTCCGATAATGCCGCCATAAATCAAAGTGCAACTGGAAAAAAAAAAAAAACAAGCAGAGTGTGGGTAGTCGCAATTTAGGTGGAACTAAATTAAAAACTGGTCACGGCCTAAACTGATTGAATTCCAAGCAAAATATTCGTCACATTCTCAAATGGAATGCGGACTAGAGTATTTAAGTGGCGGCAAGTTTGCTGACTAAATCGACGGACCTTAACTCCCACGACTTTATAAGCGTATTTGACTTGCTTTAATCAATGCAAAATTATTTTAATTTGACTCGTCTATACTCTTTTAAAAGGTATCAGAGTTTTCGCATAGAATTAGGAAGGAGACTTTGCCGTCTTCATATGGTATATACATTATTGAACATTATCAACAGCCGAGTCGTCTGTCCGTCTGTCGACTAAAAATCTTATCAGCCATGAACTTTGCATACGATAGGAACACTACATTATATAGCTGACATGGGGTTGTTCAATCGAAAATTATGAAAAACTGTCTGTTTTCAGACCAAATTTGACATTTATTAGTTTCGGTATGCTTCTTACATATCTATATAGGACAGGAGTTAATACTATTCTGTTAATTAACTCAATATATCGATAAGCTAGCTATATCATATAGTGGCGAGATAGTCGTTTTTTGTCTACATTACATTCATTACGTAATGTAACTAATATTTATATATGACATACATTATTATAAAACTTACATATATGCATTATCCAAACATCATCAGCCTATTATAGCATATAGCTCTATTGGAAAAATGTTTTGTGTAAAGCGTTCCCTTTTTCGAAAAGGCAGAGCTTTTGCTCGAAAAACCATAAGCCATATGTCTTAAAGGGTATTGTAAGTTCGACTTGCTCAAAAATAGTCGTTCTCATAATTATAAAACGTCGATCGCATCTGTGTAAATCACATTAAAAAAGATAATAATAATCGCACTCATAGGGCATCACGTGCGTATACTTAATGTCAGATTGCTTCAATATTTCATGCATAGAGGAAGGTGTGTAACCCATATTATATACGTGGAGCGATAAATGTGACACCTCGAGCAGTCGAAATAGCTCAATTTGTGCGTTTCGCATGAAATCTTCCACGTCAAACCAGTTTAGCTATCATATGATAATAAAATTCGGCGTTTTTTAAGTTGGCAAACAGATTCATATGGAGCAATGTTATAAAAATATTATTCAAATGCGTGTGACTCGAGCTGTTAAATCGAACACGCGATTCGATTAGCTCTATTACACATTTTGATGGATTTATCAAATTGTTTAGCACGAATTAACAAGTTGCTCGTGAGCTTCAGGATATGTTTCAATTAGTCAATCCATTAAATACTCTTAACCCTGTCGTCATGTGTCACTCGCCGTGTTAATAGCTTGTCTTATATAATTGTTTGTTGCATGGCAATTAAACCTTTTTTTAAACACACCCACCAGAAAAAGAAAAATTGTTGAAATTTTAATAATTGACTCGGCACAATGGAAAATTAAGCAACTCATTTGTTAGCCGCTAATATTTTAGGTAAATATCATTTGGGCAATAGATACAAAAAGTAATAAAAAATTGCTTAAATTGCGTTAACACGTGTCAGTACAAGGCAGACCAACGCCGACGCTTTGAATACCCTGTGAGTAGTGAGAGTGTTGCAGGGGTATGCTAGCCTGCAAGCCAATGTAAATACTTGTTGCTAGATTCTATTGGAATTTGAGTGTTGGCGAGCAGGAATTGAAATTGTATAATATTTAAATCAATGCTGTCTAGTTTAAAGTAGGTGAAAACCTGAATGTTGTTGAGTGCAGAGTTGACTCGACTATTGATGCCCTTTAAAATTATATTGCATAGCATTTTCATAATTTTTGTATTTGATAATTCCCTACTTTATGAAAGTAGAGCATGAACAGAAACAGATTTCTGTATTAGATTTCTGTATCAGATAATAAATATATCAGTAAACTAATATTTTCATAAAAATGATCATACCTTGACTTCCCTAAAGTACAGAGTATCTGCTAGTCAATAAATCTTTATTCTATGGCTTCCAAATTTTTGCGTTTCTTAAAATTATGCTTTAAAGAAATAAAGGCACATAAACATTTTATCTGGTTGCGTGGACGCCAAGGCGAACGAATATTATTTTGTTGGCTGGTTCTGTTCTTATTTGGCATTCAGATAAAAAATATATGGGGCTATATACACACATGCTAAACATGTGAACTGATATTGACATAACAATTCGGCTTGCCAAACCAAGCTGCGCCGCGAATAAAGCACACACAGGAATTTTATGAATTGAAGTTTGGTCCGCGGTTCCAATGCAAGGCATGTGGAGTATTTGGTTATCAGAGGCGACTTTTTATATATAGTTTATAGAATTGTTGACCTTATGCCAAATCAAATTGCAATCTTTATTCTGTTTAATGATAATTTTGATAAGAGGCGCGCACGCCTAATTAGTACAGAATACTTGGACACAAGTTTGTGGTACATACAAATATATGTGAAATATATATGTATGACATATGTGTGTGTTTGTGCGTGTGTGTGTGTTTGTGTGTGAGTGGCACACAAAAAGTGGAACAGCATACATATATTTACATACGCAAGTATCAGCGTGAATATTTCCAAAGAGCTCGGCTGGCATGTTTTAAAAATAAAATTAAAAAAAAAACGAGAATTTAAATGAAAATAAAATTAAGACAAATTCAAGGCAATTGCACGGAGAGTGCAGTTAAAAACCGTATAAATTTTTTCAGTTTTGTTGTTGCTGTCGTTTTTTTTTCTTTTTTTTTTTTTGATTTACATTGAGTGTTAATTGAATGTCATTTCGAAAGCAGCTAACTTATACGAATATGGAATATGGAACGGACATTTGACAGACAACTTTGAACTCCGGACGTATAAATTGGATTTCAATTCGATTCGATTTCAATTCAGCTCCGACTCTATTCGAAAGTGTTGGCAACAAGAAATTATCCGTTATGTAATATGGCTATTAATTTTATGCGCTCTCTCCCGCACGAGCAGGGCGAAACATTTCATTGCCAAGTGCATTAAATGCAAAATAATGCACATAATTATAAGCTAATAATGCGGTAGTATATAGAAAATAATAAAAACCCAGCAGCAACAGCAACTACAACAACAACAACAACTTTGTATATTGATAGGGTAGGAGGTGTGCATACATTGTTTTTGATATTCAGGCAGGCGTGCACAACAACAATTAAATTCCATTTAATCAATATTAAGTACATAAAAATTCTACATGTGTAGATAGCGTCCGCCCGACAAAGGCCAGGCCCAAAAAAAAAAAAAACACCTATGATAAGCTTGGATATGAGCACCATTTTAAAGCATAGTTCGAAATTTCTGGCTAACAACATTCACACATAAATTGCACTTAAAATTGTTAACAAAGCCAGGATAAATTGATAATTATTCAATTTAATTAAGGCAAAAAAAAAACACATTAAATAAATGGCAATTACCCAAAGGCACAGGATCTGTTGTCTAGAACTTAAAACTGAATTTTGTTGCACAATCTGAAAGTGGTTCAACCAAAACTGAACAGTCTTTGCACTGGAAGCCTTTTTATATAGATCAAAATTGCTTCAGTTAGAGTCACAGCAGCGGCCACAAGAAGAGAGTTCACATTTCTCTGATTTTGTTTTAGTTAGTTAATTTTGCTAATTAATTAATGCCTTGACTTAATATCAGAGCAGGCAACAGATACACGCACTTGCAGAGACCACAAACTGGAACTAACCTGCGCTTTTCTCGATCGTTTGATTGCAATTAAAACTCTCAGCAAAAGGCGCGCGCGCGATCAACTTCGGCGCCACAAAAATCGAAAGAAAAAAAGCAACAGAGCTTCGGCTGGCCACCATGGCGTATTATTGCTGCTCGAAAGCAGCGCAGTCGACGCCGAAAGTTTTCTGCTTATCGCCCAAAAAGAGAGAGAGAGGGTGAGAGCACGTGAGAGCGCAAGGGCGCGCGCGCGCGCATGAGAGCACGCGAGTGTCAAGCGAGAGGAAGCTTATGCCGGCTCTTTTGTGTACGCCAGTGCTGCGAGCTTTTTGCAGCAAGTAGTCGCTGAAGGTTACCCACGCTGAAGACTAACGTTAGAGATGAGCTTTCCGTTCTACGTTATGTAACAAAATCTATATTGACAAAGCTGTTTAATTCGGAGTTCTTAATTTGTATGCCCAGCACGTCTGGAACAACGGTTCTAGACTCTACTAATTACCCACTGTGTTAATAAATATTGATGAATTTATGAATATTTACATATTAGTATTTATGACTTAAATTATTAATTAGTTTAGTTCAGACCAGGTAAACTTCTACTTTATGTATTATGATAGATTACTATTCTATTTTTATGGCTGTTCTGCTTGCAAAATTATTAATAACAAACACACAATAGATTTTTTGAAATTTTAAAATTCATTATATCATTGTTTTCATGTGGATATTATGCGCTTTAATTCCGCTATCAACAATATATGGTTTTAAACAAAGAAACAAAGCCGCTGTATCAAAGCCATTTTCATTAGCGTGAGCTTAGCCTAATTAATTCTTGAATTTTATAGCCAAAGCACTGAACCATAAAATATAGTTAAATGGACATTCTGTTGTATCACGATAATCTTCTTTTTTTAATAATTTAAACGGATTAGTGTTGTCTATTCAGCCTTTTTTCCGCCAAATTCGTTCTTTTTATAATTTATAGAATGAAATAGTTGTCATTATTCACAAATGCTAAAAATGGAACAAACTGAATTTAAGAAAATTATGCAATGCTAATATTGGGAAATCTTTATAAGGTTTAATGACACCATATTGGGAGCGGAAGTCGTAAAATACGCAGACTTTTGTTGGCAAAAAAAAGTTTCAAAGATTTGACGACCTCTGCCAGCCTCATGTTGCTTCTGCTTTGTTCAAACGACGAGGTCAATGGAGCATTTAGCCAGGTCAAAATTGAATATATACACCTAAAACGGCATTAACAGTTATGTATATATTATGTTTATGGTAATCAAATATTATAGAAATTATATATTATATAAATGATATATATACGTTTATATTTGTTGATTTAAATATGCAATTTCGGTTTTAATATTTTAGGATATGTTATATCACATAAAGTGTTCGTAACCTTTTTATACCCTTGCAGAGGGCATTTTAATTTTGTTTTTGTCTATCTTTAAATAGAAATATATTTTACTAGACTTACAATAAGAATATTTTGTAGGTATATATTGAAAGGATATAACCCAATGTTAATGTATGAACGTTTTGAATAATTATTAATTACAGAATCCTTTTAGACCCATATTTCTATTTCACATTCGCACATATACTTTTATACATCTGAACAAATTTTTTTTATAATCTAAAATTTTCCACTCATAAACTTATTCGTCCCATTGTACGCAGTGTCGCGCCCTCTATTGATAAGCACTTTAATCTGCATGAGTTTTTTTATCGTTCACAAGAGTCATTCAAATCGGGTAACCTTCATTTATGGCTAAGCCCATACTTACCTCCTTCGCGACCTACCTGCGTGCTCTTCTGGGGTTGGAGTAAAGTTTCCGTTGGGCTTGTTGTTTGCCAGGGCAGCAGTAAAATTTCACTTATCACAACTTATCGAACTAAATTCCATAAACACTTGACGTCACATTATTTTGTTCGAAACGGAAAACTTTATCAGTGGGTCATGATAAACGCGATGTCTTTTCCATGACGCGTTTGGCAGCTTTTCCCATAGACCCGCAACCTTGACTTTTTTGAGACGAGGAAGCATTAAATTGCAAGAAACTCGTGACTCAAGCTAAATATATATGTATATATCCATAAAGATATATATCAGCGAAGTATGCTAATGTTGTTAAAGTCAATCAATAAATATAACTAAAAATAAAACACAATGAAGCGTTGTCAAAGCATGTCAAATCAAATGCGCGCCAAATTGATGAATAACTATTTTGGGTCCATAATGGGTTAAGCGGCGGCTGAAATCGTGAGCCATTGAGATTTTGCGAGTATTTCTGGTTGTGCCCATTCATGTGATTTATTATGGTGTCTGGCCAGCGGACACTTGACTCGCCGAGCTTGTTAAATAAAACTTAAACTGGTTTTTCGGCTATTCAGGAAAATGCTAAAACTTCAATCAACGGCGGCGCCATAAATTCATTTTTTTCTGTTTATATTTCTAAATGCAATTTTAGCAAAGCTTTTTGGGTGCCAAAAAAAAAAAAAAAAAGAAGGTACAATAAAAATAAAGAGACGCCGAAAAGCTGAAAGCACGTGACGTATACGCAACGTGGCCTCTGCGCGGGCAGCGAATGTGTGTCAAATGTTTTATTTATTTTCGCATTTGTTTTGTTTGTTGCTTGAACTTAATATGTGTACTTAATAACCGTAGCTAACTATAGTAAGCGCACCTTTTAATCATTTTCTTCTCGGACAGCTGAAATTTGCTGGACGGCGGCTGCTGCTCCCCGCGATGCAGCTGCTGATTGAGCAAAGCTGCGATTGTGGGCACCGATTGTTGTTGTTGCTGTTGTTGTTGTTGTTGTTGTTGTTGCTGTTGTTGTGACATGATTTCAATGTATTGTTAAACGCACTTTAGCAGTTCTTTTATCCACACACACACGCGCACACACAGACACACATACGCACGCACGACGGCAACACTTGAAATGCAAATTGGTTTTTTATGCAAACAAAATTGCAGACGCGACAAGGAACTTTAGTTTTTTTTAGTTGCTGCTTCTATTTTTTATAATTTATACTTTGTTTTTATTCGTCTTTGGTCTCGATGCTAGTCTCAATGTTGTTTCGCGAATTATATTTGTGCGCTGTATCTGTTTCAGTATCTATATGTCTGCATGTTCGCTGTTGCGACGCATCTGTATTTTTGCTTTTGGTTTGCCCAGCTACAGCGGGCTGACTGACAGAGTAACCGTCGACACGTCGACGACGAAGCTTAAATTCACCGCAGATGGCAGAGGCAGCCAATAAAAAAAACATGTATAAATACCAACAAATACAAATACGAATGCAACAACAGCAACAACAACAGCAACAACAGCATGAAAATGGCAACAAGTGTCGTGTAAAACGGCTTTTGGCGATGGGTGAATTTGTTTTTCTACTATTTTTATTATGGTCACAAACGGGTATAATGGTTTTGTGCACATGTATGTAACAGGCAACAGGCAGCAGGCAGCTTTATATATAATCTGTATCTTATATACTTTCTCAGCCTCAAGAGGCAAGTCAAGCTAGCCTGAGCGCGTCGACCTCAGAGTCTAGAAGAGCCAGAGACTTCAGATTTGGAACTAAGCACGCGCCGATCGTGTTTCTCAAATGATTTAATTATTATTTATTAAATTTCAATAATTCGCGTTGTTTTCACGTTCAACATCGCCCCCGTATGTGTCAAAAAAACTCATGCAGTTATAACCTTGAGCTTAGGTATATGCGTATTTCTTAATATCATGTATATGCACAGAAAGTCTTATATAGATCGGACAACAAACACCGAAGTTACTTGAGAACGCAGTTCCATAGATTGGGTAAAAAGAAGCGTATGTTTGTGTGTGCGTGCCTGTGTGTGTGAAAGTGTGCATAGTCAAGCTAGAATGTTTCTCAGTGAAACATGACGCTTGGTTTAAGGTATCTACTAGTCGGACACGCCCCCCAAATAGAGCACTCTTACTTTATTTCTCTTTTGTGTGTAATTTTTGTTATTGTTGACTTTCGTTCTCTACACATTTTCGGTTTTTGTTTTGATTCTAGACTTTGGGCGAAACGCTGAGAGAGAAATGGACGAGCTGCTTCGGGTCAAGGGTCGAGTGGTTTTCGGGGTTTTTTGTTGATGGGTTAATTGAACTTGATTTGGCTCGCTCGCTCGCAACAATAGCCTCCAATTTCTCTCAGTGTTTGATTGACTGCGCTAATGATGCATATTGTTTCTATCTGCATTAGTGAAATATCCGCCCCACTTTACCACCTAGATATATATATATATTTATATTCATATGTTTAGTTTGGGACATCGCTTCAAGTGGCTGTTCATCATAAAATTGCAATAACAAAATGTTTTAGATACCGACATCAGCTGCTATATACGCCGCAATAAATTGGGCGTGAGATAAGACCAAAGCTGCAAATAGAATGCAAATGAAATGGACAACCTTTTCTTTATTAGTTGGCATGCGAATTGATTTGCGTACATTTATTATGTTTATTATGCGATAAGCATATAAATAAAATAACTAAAACACCAATCGACACTCTAATCAGTTCAATATTTTTGCAATTTAATCATATTAAGTAATGCAAGTGCTCGGCCATAAGATAACTTTGGAATGTTTGACAACTTTTCTAATACTATTTTAAGTGCTGCCAATCTAAGTAGGCACTTCTATATAAAGTGCATTTACCGATATTTGCCTGATCAGTGATAAAATTATGTTTTATCAATAAAAAGATATGCTCTCATGTGATCTTATCGCATATTATATATATTTTTCGCTACTTTTGTTGCTTTGTTGGCACAAAAAGTGTTGCATAATTCTGGGCTGCTCGCAAAATTGGTTTGTGTCTGTGGAATCGGTAAAATTAGCGAGACTTACTCTTATGCAATATTTCATTTTCAACACATTAACTTACCTCAATTTATAAAACAATTTCGGTTTTATTAAATTTTAAGTAAATCTATGCAGCAAATTATTAATTATTAATTAAATAAATGGGTTTTTTATATTCCAAATATTTTTAATATATAATAAACAAAGAGTTAAATCTAAAAAAAATAGTTATTTTCGATTAGCCTGGTTTCAAACCACGAAAGCTGTTTGCTTTAGAGCTTTTTCATACACTTGCTGAAAAGCTGCATGCTATAAAAAGCCAAAGTTGCTTGCTCTGAAACCTTAACCGCATTTTGAAGTGCAAAACTTGTCTAACGGCCAAAACCCATCAACTGACCGAGTTGATTCTCGTATAAGATCAAAAACCGTAGCATTAGCAGCCCGCATCAGGCATAAGAACGCGATTAGCTGGAATTAACATGTGCCGCATGTATCGCTAAAGTCGGTTCAATATTGACTCGAGCGACTGACATTGGCACTGGCCCGGGTCGGGTACTGGGCCCGGGCCTGGGTATATCCGGTCTTAACAACTGACCGCCGTTGTCTGGCTGCTTAATGTATGTAATCGATTTCACACTACTTTTTAATCACTACAAAACATTTATTGTTTGCGCACAGCGAGAAAAGTTAAACAAAACTAGAAGGTGTTCGCGAGCACAAGGGCGGGACGGGGCGGGCGGCAGTTGTACAAATTGACTTGGCCACATTATTGGGCATTTGGCCGTAGACTGACTGCACTGGGAACTGGGCCCGAAAGTATCTCACGCAGTTGTTGCCGTTAACACACACGCACACACAAAAGGTTTTTATTGTGCGTATTCGTTGACAGCTTCAATCGTCGCTTTGGGGCCCAGACCCGAATGTGCCGAGGGTTTCGGGCTGTTGTGGGATCGATTTGGGGGCTACGGCGCAGTCGTCGCCGTCGTTTGTTATATTTGTTATTTATTTTGCGGTTATAATACTTATACTCGCCTTTTTTTTTTATTGTATTTACAGAAAATATTGTCGGCCATTCAGAGCCGCAAAAAAAAAAGAAAAAAAATTGAAACAAAAAAAAAACAAAATAAAGTTTTTACAGTTTAACTTTGGGTTTTTGTGCTCGCAGATGATAAATTAGCTGTGTACGTAAATTCGAAAAGAAAATCTGTACGTGAAAATACAAATATATGCATGTACATGCAGGGTGGGGGGAGGCGGGCGAGGCGCGAGAGGCAAGAGGCGAGTAATTGTGTAAATACCTTGTCGTTGCATGACAATAAGCCGATCCCGAGCTCCGAACACTCCATCCATCCATCCATCCATCCAGCCAGCCAGCCAGCCAGCCAGCGCTGGCTCGTCCGGTAATGAATGCCGCATTATTATTTTGTACTTTGTCAACTAAACAGCAACCCCGAATGGCGTTGATGCGATGTGATAATTCAATGTCGCGCAACCAGCGCACGGACACGTCAGATACAGATACAGATACAGATACAGATAGAGATACAATATCTTTTTTATATATGCATATGTGTGTATGTGTGCTGGAGCTTATGGCTGTTGATCTTTGTAGCGATGACCGCAGTTTTTTAACTCTTTTTTTAACATGCCAAAAGAATTGTAATTACGCGACTGTCATCTGTATATGTATCTGTATCTGTATCTGTATCTGTCTCAGTCTCGGTATCTGTATCTTAACAATGGCATCAGCATAACAAAGAACAAATTGCTGTAAGCTTCGTTTCAGCTCTTTAACTCTGTGGCCTTAGCCCAACACGATCTTCATATATAAATTGAACACCCAATTCTCTCGCTCTCTCTCTCTCTCTGTTTCTCTCGGGCCGTGGCGTATTTAATAAGCATTGAGAAAAGCGCACAAAGCGCCTAAATAGTGTCAATGATTAATTGCTTTTGTGATTATGTGGAAATTTAATAGATTTTTTATTGCGCTCGCTTGCAGACCAAATTGATATTCTATAAAGGTGCCACACAGCAGAGCTCAACCCAACTGTAGCTGGGAGGCACGTATCCATTGACTGCAGCATCATTATTACCCTCAGTTATTTGTCAGTTGTTGTTTTCTTTCTTTTTGTATTTGTATTGCTGCTGCTCGTATGACAGTTGATTGTTGTTGTTGCTGCTGCTGCTGCTGTTAAAAAAGGGCCGCATCATTGTTACAAATTCACATTTCAAATTCAAATTTGAAATTCACACGCGTCACGCTGCCAACTGCAGTTCGCTTGATTTGCTTTGGGCTGGTTTGGGGGGGTGAAGTTCTTTTTTCTTTGACTCTGGCAAAACTTGTTAGCATATTTGTCGCATGCCCCACGGCCAGGCACTACTTATATTAAATGTAATGCCACCGCAAATCCTCTAAAGCTGACCACAGAGCACAGCACAAGAAAAGGACACCCAAGCGTTTGCCAGACCAAGTTGGCCGCGCTCCCAAGTTTGTGTCCTTTTCTACGCCAATCTGTTGAAATCCACACAAAGTCACAAAGAAAATACACATTGAAAGCGGAAATTCAAGTGGAAATTACTCAATTACAACGGGCGCAAGAAAATGAAAACGAAACGTACCACATGATACCACATATAAACCCCCTCCCCCTCCCACACATTGACCAGTGGCTTAACTGTGGACGGCTCTGGCCTTACTTTTAGTGCTTGGCACTTGCTCGCCTTTGAGAGCGTGTGTGTCCTTGCTAGAGCGGAGCACGTGTCACGAGTTACAGGACAGGAGTTGAGCGGGGAATTTCTCAACTGTAAAACATTTCCGAATTCTCTTTATAGGCCCGTGTTATAGATTATTTGCATAAATAAACTATGCTCAGTTTAAGGAGTTGATAATGTGTTCAAGATATTTTATTCGTGTTTTTGCAATTGTTAAACTCTTGCTGTTTATGCTGCGCTTGCTTTATCTTAAGCTATTTTGGACTAGCTGTCAATAACAAATATATCTGATCAAAAGCTAAATCCT